TGCTGCAGTTGGTGCTTTTCATATCAGTCCTCCAGGCTGGGCGGGTTGGGGGGGGGGGTGCAGCAGCATCAGGAAGGGGCCTCTCAGCCCCTCCACCCTCGAGTCAGCCGCTGCACCCCTGGCTCCCCTGCCCTGTGCCCTGCTCCCCTCACCGAGCCTGGCCAGCAGCCCTGCTCCAGGCATCCCATCTCCTACTCCAGGTGTTTCTGGGTCATCTCACCGCTGGCTCCCGATCTGCCCCTGCACCTCCTACATCTGAGTCACCTGTCCCCTCTGCCGACAGATCTGCCAGACAGTCTCCCAGCTGATCTCATTCTCTGTGGTCATTTTGTTCTGGCCAGGAATTCAGATTAAGAAACTACCCACCTGTGTGCTGTTGTCCCTGCCAGGGCAGGGCATGGAGCCCTGCCCTTCCCCCCAGTGCAGGGTGGTGCGGCTGCTGGCTTGTGTGCCACACCCCTCCCCACAGGGTGGGCTCCTCACTGGCAGACCCCGAGAGTGTGCTGTTGTCCCTGCCAGGGCAGGGCATGGAGCCTGCAGGGCACACCAGAGAGAGGCTCAGTGAGCGCCACTGGGGAGGAATTGCATTATCATTCAGGCTCCGATCTTGGCCATGACCTTGAGTAAGTTGCTTACCCTCTTCAAACCTCTACATACTCATCCACAGAATGATACACATAATAGCTGAGGTCACATCACTGTGAAGATTAGCAGAGCTTTTGAGAACAAAGGGCTTAGTTTGGGAAAGCACCAGCCAGCCCTTTAAAGTGGTATCTGCCCCAATCCCTACTACTAGTTTCACTTTACTATATTTGTTTTTAAAGTGATTTCATGTTGGTTTTTACCCACTTGTTTTTCAGTATGACCTTGCAAAGTAGTTGAAGCAGGAACGGTGTCTGTTTTAGCAAGGTGCAAACTAAGATTCAGAGGAAGACCGTCCGCAGACACACAGCCTGGCTTGAGCAGCCTCTCCTGGTCGGCACAGCCAGCTGCTGGGCACCCTGTTTTGGGATAGGACATGACCACAGGCCTCTGAGAAAAGATGCCTGTATATTAAAGGGCAGCACTATTATTCAGCGGGCCCCAGCATTCACAATGATCCAGATGATCACTTCTCCAGTGGAGGAAGGAGAGGCTAGGATTTCTAAGCAATCTGGCAGCACTCCTCTGGAAGTGATGTGGGATTTTGCGTCTAGTCCTCTGCTCCCCTCCCTAAAGAACCAAAATCAGAGAACAGAATCTCTGAGGAGATTTATCATGTTCTAGTGCATGATGGCCTGCCAATGGGGATGTTTTAGTAGGGGTGAAGAAGGAATGATTTATGGGCTCCCATCTCCTGTGCCGCAGATAGAGTTGGTGGAAATGTTTCTTGCTTCCGAGTCTCTCGGTTTAAGCCCAGCAGTTGGCTGCTGATGGCCTGGGCCGGTACCTCATGGCTGCTGGTTATATGGATAGAAATGAGGGGGCGAACGGCTGGGGGAGGAAGGGAGGGAAGCAGGTGGGGTCTCGGGAGATGCAGGATGGCAAGGTGTGGGAAGGCAGCCATGGTGTGGCATTCCAGAAGTTTTCGGGGTGTGTGTTTAAAAGCAAAAGGCAGGGGCACCTGGGTGGCTCAGTCGGTTAAGCATTTGCCTTCGGCTCAGGTCACGATCTCAGGGTCCTGGGGTCAGGCTCCCTGCTCAGTGGGGAGTCTGCTTCTCCCTCTCCTCCCTGCTTGTGCTCTCTCTTGCTATTTCTCTCTCTCTCAAATAAATAAATAAATAAATAAATAAAATAAAAAAGCAAAAGGCAAGGAGAGTCTCAGTAGATCATTAGGCTGCCCCCTGGGATGAGCAGATAATAGAGTGGGATAATTACGTTTTCTGTGCATTTAGCACCCCAGCGCTGTGTTAGGAGCCAAGACACCTAGGGCCTGGAAGGTGCGTGACACCTGGGGAACGGTTCTAGCTTATGAAATCCCATAGTCGCCAGCGTGCCAGTCAGGGTTGGGAATCCAGTGCAAAGGACTGAAGATAAGCACAGGAAGCCATGGGCAGCCGAAGGTAAGGTGGCTAACTCGGCTCGGCGTGCGCAAGGGAGTAGGTGAAAGAAAACATCTTGGGCGTGCGACACGTGAACGAATTGTTTTGTTCATTCTCTCATTCAGGAAATAGGAACCGACTTTCTCCCACGTGGCCCGTGGTGTGTTGGGTGGTGGTGGCAGAGTGTTTGTGTGGGACAGGCACGCTCGTGCTCCTGTGGGGTTATCAGGCTAGTGACACATGCTCTCTAGGCGTGCAAGGAATTCTGGGTAGTGACAGTGTCTGGCCTCGTCTGGGTGGTCAGCAAAGATGTCCCTGGGAAGGGCCATTATTACGAAATCTAACGGGTAAGTAGGCAATGCCCAGGGAAAGGGGATGGTGTGAGCTGGGGTTGGGAGGGAGGAAGGTCTGGGTTACAGTTTACAAAGGTCCCTCTGGGGGCTGCTACGAGCAGGGGTTGGCCTCAGGGGAGGTGGCAGGGGCAGGTCAGAGGCCGGGGCCGTGAGCGCCCCGTCTTCATTCTTCTTTCAAATATCAGGGGCTGAAAAGAAAGTTTCATTCCGGGAGCTTGTCTTTTCTGTGGCACTGAGCCCTGACTGCTCTGCCGCAGGCCACATTGTGTGTCTTCTGTGGAAACATCCCAACATCCCATCCCCTCAGCAAACTCCAAATAGAATCTATTTATTGTCAACACCAGGCGCCTTTAGACAAATCTTCGGTTGGTCTGTAACTAAATCCTGTTGACTTTGCATCTAAAATAGCTCTTGAATCTTCCATCTCTCCTCCACCCCACGGCCGACCTGCCTTAGTCCTGGCCCTCCACATCTCACAGAATCACCAACTCGGGGCTGATCTTTCTAAGTTGCAAGTTTATTGTGTTTTATCACCATTGCTGTGTGTGTAACGATTACTTGGTGATTGTATCAGTGAGCTTTCTCTGCGTAACAAACAGCTCCAAGCCTTCATGCCTAAAACAAGAAACATTTGTTATTTCTCCTGATTCTGTGCATTGACTAGACATTTCTTGTGTCTGGGCAGTGTGGCTGGGACTTGGTGGTGTGGTCTTTGCACCAGGGGACCAGCTCAGCTGGGGTAATGTGGCTGCAGAATGATTCCTAGCAGCGAGAAAGGGGGATATTTGGGACATAAGCACTGTTGAAGCTTTTATTTCTGTCTTTTATTATTGACTCACTGGCCAAAGCAAGTTACATGGCCAAGTTCAGATTCAGAGGGTGGAGAAGTGGACCTCAATTCATGTGGGGACGGGGATCAAAGACACACTGCTAAGGAGGATGTGTACAAGGTGGCCCGAGCAAATGGGGTCCGTTACTCTACACATCTGTCCCAGGGGCTAAGATGAGGACTGTGGAACCGGACAGAATGGGGGCGTCCCGCTGGGGGCTGTTCTGTACCACTTAACTGCCTTTGTCATCCTGGTCAGGGTTGTTCACAGGAGCTCTCCAAGCCCCAGCTGCCCATCTATAAAATGGGATAGTCATTGAGACCACCTCAGGGATTTCATGAGAAAACGTGTGGTCTGTACATCTCTCAGTGCTTGGGACACAGTAAGAGCTCAACCAGGCTGCAACCGCTCTGGAAAACAGTATGGAGGTTCCTCAAACAGTTGAAAATAGAGCTACCATACGATCCAGCAATTGCACTCCTGGGTATTTACCCCAAAGATACAAATGTAGGGATCCGAAGGGGTACGTGCACCCCAATGTTTATAGCAGCAATGTCCACAATAGCCAAACTGTGGAAAGAGCCAAGATGTCCATCGACAGATGAATGGATAAAGAAAAGGTGGTATATATATATACACAATGGAATATTATGCAGCCATCAAAAGGAATGAGATCTTGCCATTTGCAACGACATGGATGGGACTGGAGGGTGTTATGATGAGTGAAATACATCAATCAGAGAAAGACATGTATCATATGACCTCACTGATATGAGGAATTCTTAATCTCAGGAAACAAACTGAGGGTTGCTGGAGTGGTGGGGGGTGGGAGGGATGGGGTGGCTGGGTGATAGACATTGGGGAGGGTATGTGCTATGATGAGCGCTGTGAATTGTGCAAGACTGTTGAATCACAGACCTGTACCTCTGAAACAAATAATGCAATATATGTTAAGAAAAAAAAAAGAAGAAGAAGATAGCAGGAGGGGAAGAATGAAGGGGAGTAAGTCGGAGGGGGAGACGAACCATGAGAGACAATGGACTCTGAAAAACAAACTGAGGGTTCTAGAGGGGAGGGGGGATAGGTTAACCTGGTGATGGGTATTAGAGAGGGCACGTTCTGCGTGGAGCACTGGGTGTTATGCACAAACAATGAATCATGGAACACTACATCAAAAACTAATGATGTAATGTATGGTGATTAACATAACAATAAAAATTAAAAAAAACTACTAAAAAAAAAAGAGCTCAACCAGGGGTCTCTGTTCTTACTCTCAGGTGGGGCCTTCCGAAGCCTGGTGGTGCATCCCAATCCTGATCTCACACGTTCACTATTGTTCACTACTTACATTTTTCCCTACCCTCTACCCCAGAGACACTTCCCCCCAATTTTTTTCTTTTTGTCACACAGCATTTCACTCGAGTGAGGAGCAACTAAAAACCCACCTGTTCCTCTCACACTGAATTGGTCATTTCTCCCTTAGTTCTCCCAAATATCACTCACATCCTCGTATCACGTTGCCCTGAGTTATTTGTTTATATGTCTGTTTTCTCCACCAGGCTGAGCTTCTTGAGGGTATGAACTATGGTCTCCCCGCCTTTCTGTCTCTGGTACTTGGCTGCGTGCATGGAACAGGATAGGCGTCTATTTAAAAAAAAACACTTGATGTATAAATCATTGGGTGACTTGGTGGAGTGACGGGCGAATGCCTTTGAATTGTCTTGAGTCATCCTCAAAAGACAGTGGATGAACGAAAGGTCACAACTGACTTGAACTTTTCTCCTCTTCCCTTCCAGCTGGGGACCATTTTCAGAATCAAACTTTCTGACCTGGAAATGCCAATAGAAGTAATAATCATCGCCAGGAGCTGTGGTGAGCAAACACTTTGAGCTTTGTGGCCAGGACAGTTTCCTCTGTGGACCTGAGATGGACAGTCCCCCAGCCTCCTGAGGTAAATGACTGCCCTCTCCCCCAGCACGAGTGAGAGGTGTTGTCTTTTCTGGTTTCTTCCATACATTAACTTGAGTAGCGGGGGAGAGATGTTCCCCTATGTCTTGGTCTCTTTGTAATTTGGCCTGCTCTCCCAGGGATATGCCATTAAGAGGGAACACTTTCTACCTCAGGGAAAAATGCACGGTCATTAGAATATCAAGCAACCTGATTTTCTTAAAAGGAAAGCCTTCTGTGTTCTCATTAAACAAGTAGGTAGAAACTGAATTAGGAACAGCCTCATATGACCAGTGCCGGCCATCCCAAAGACAGTCTGGAATGACACTGTCCTGGAATGAGTGTTAGCAATCAACTCTGACCCACAGGGCAAAACTGGCCCAGTCATATTTTATAGATCATTTCTGTTGGTACCCAGCCACATTCCTTCCTTCAGATATGTGTCACAGCACAACAGCGGTGGTGACGGGCTGTGTGGCCGGAAAGCCACAAATATTTACAGTCTGGTCCTTCATGGAGAGAGTGTGCCAGCCCCTGGTCTAGAGCGAAGCTGCCCACATGTAGCCACCCCATGTGTGGCTATTTAAATTTTAATTCGTTGAAATTAATCACAATTAAAAATTCAACCCTCAGTCATGCTCACCACATTTCAAGTGCTCAATAGCCGTATGTGACTCATGGCTACCATTTTGGACAGCACATTGAGCAAGTTTCCATCAGTGAGGAAGGCTGGCTTGGGGAAATCTGTGGTCACCCTGGAACGCCTCTCTTCACTCTGAGTGTCTAACTCAGCTTGGATATAGTTGCCACCATCGTGGAAGAAGGAAGGTTGGTCCATGTATGTGTGTGTGTGGCTGTTCTGTATGATTATTGGTGAGGACATCTATCTATTTATCTACTTACCTATCCATAAAAATGGAATTACTTCTAAAATTTCTTTGGACAGCCAAACTATGGCCGCTGTATATGAGTCCATGTAAAAACTAAGCCACTTGGACCTTGAGGTATATCAGTTTTATATATGCAAATAAGTTGATACAAATATGAGTTTTTCCATGGTCGTGGGAAGATCAGATACAGTATAGGGCTTCCTGTAAAGGGAACGAAGCAATGGCCATAGTGTTCCCCGTGGGCTCAAGATGGGGCGAGAGAGATAAGAAACAGGGAGAGGAAGAAAGTAAGCTAAAGATATGGTGTTCGTGAGTCTTGGAGGAATGAGGAATGATGGAGACAAAAGATAACTATGCGTTTACTTTCAAAGAATGTGTTAAACAGAGTAATAATGATTGGGACCTTATCCCATCTCAGAATCGGGCTGAGCACAACCATTCCTATATAGCAGACCCATGGGGAGAAGCTTGGACTTGGCAATAGTCCCATCATCTTGGATGGGTCGGGACTGGGGGTATGGGAGCTCCAGTGGCGCAGTCGGTTAGCGCGCGGTACTTATACAGGACTGGGGGTATAATAAGAGGTTCTACTTGTTGAATAAGGCAGTGCGCAGTGCAGAATAAGAGGGCCAGTCACTTAGCTGCATAGCATTTATGGATGGGTCCCAAGACGGAACAGAGAAGAAACTCCAGGTGACCAGGAGGCCTATAGGCAAAGGCCCCACGTTGTGTCTTTAGGAGCTGGGCTTTCTCCACTGTGGGTTGCCCAAGAACTAGCAAGAACAAAGCAGAGATTCAGACGATGGAAAAGGATTGAATTGATATGTATCTGTACATCTAGATCTGAAACGGGCCCTGCCTCTCTTCTCTTGGTTGGTTTTTAAGCTCTTCAACATTGCTGGTGAGTGCTGGAAACACTTGAAACAGGTGTTTCCATAGTGGACCTTCAAACAATGGAGCTTAATGCAGATATGAAGTAATTAGAAGTAACAATAAGAAAAGATATTGATTTTTAGTATATAGTATTGAGCACATCAGGGACAACAGTGGTGGTGATGAGGGTGATTTTAATAGCGATGATATCGTCCATCCATTTCAAGCTCCTTATGTGCCACATGCACAATTCTGGTAATAATAATTGTTATTATAATAGCTTCAAATTATTGTGCTAAGCACTATACTCACTTTTTCTCAATACATGAACCCAGAGTATGCTTTTCGATTACATTTTTTTTTTCAATTGCTCGATTTTGATATAATTGCAAATTTAGAGGTAAGTTGCAAGAAGAGCCAAAAAATTCCTGGATACCCTATACTCAGATTCCTTAAGTGTTGACATTTTACTCTATATCCATTCTATCCTTTCCTCTCTCTTTTTTTCCTGAAATCCGAAGATTCCTTTTTTTTTTTATTAAGTAATATAGCCAATCAGAATTATGGGCTTTTCAGAGATAAAGGTGAATTTCTTTTTTTTTTTTAAATTTTATTATGTTAGTCACCATACAATACATCATTAGTTTTTGATGTAGTGTTCCACGATCCATTGTTTTCGTATAACACCCAGTGCTCCAGGCAGTACGTGCCCTCCTTAATACCCATCACCGGGCTAACCCATCCCCCCACCCCCCTCCCCTCTAGAACCCTCAGTTTGTTTCTCAGAGTCCATATCTCTCGTGGTTCCTCTCTCCCTCCGATTCCCCCCCTTCATTTTTCCCTTCCTTCTCCTAATGTCCTCCCTGCTGTTCCTTATGTTCCACAAATAAGTGAAACCATATGATCATTGACTTTCTCTGCTTGACTTATTTCACTTAGCATCATCTCCTCCAGTCCCATCCATGTGGATGTAAAAGTTGGGTATTCATCCTTTCTGATGGCTGAGTAATATTCCATTGTATATATGGGCCACATCTTCTTTATCCATTCGTCTGTTGAAGGGCATCTCGGCTCTTCCCACAGTTTGGCTATTGCAGACATTGCTGCTATGAACATTGGGGTGCATATGGCCCTTCTTTTCACTACATCTGTGTCTTTGGGGTAAATACCCAGGAGTGCAATTGCTGGGTCATACGGTAGCTCTATTTTTAACTTTTTGAGGCACCTCCACACTGTTTTCCAAAGTGGCTGTACCAACTTGCATTCCCACCAACAGTGTAAGAGGGTTCCCCTTTCTCCACAACCTCTCCAACATTTGTTGTTTCTTGCCCTGTCCATTTTTACCATTCTGACTGGTGTAAGGTGGTATCTCAATGTGGTTTTGATTTGAATTTCCCTGATGGCTAATGACGATGAACATTTTTTCGTGTGTCTGTTAGCCATTTGTATGTCTTCTTCAGAGAAGTGTCTTTTCATGTCTTCTGCCCACTTTTTGACTTGATTATTTGTCTTTTGGGTGTTGAGTTTGAGAAGTTCTTTATAGATTTGGATACCAGCCCTTTATCTGTAGTGTCATTTGCAAATCTCTTCTCCCATTCTGTGGGTTGCCTCTTTGTTTTGTTGACTGTTTCCTTTGCTGTGCAGAAGCTTTTTATCTTGATGAAGTCCCAAAAGTTCATTTTTGCTTTTGTTTCACTAGCTTTTGGAGATGTATCTTGAAAGAAGTTGCTATGGGCGATGTCAAAAAGGTTACTGCCTATGTTCTCCTCTAGGATTTTGATGGATTCCTGTCTCACATTTAGGTCTTTCATCCACTTTGAGTTTGTCTTTGTGTATGGTGTAAGAGAATGGTCGGGTTTCATTCTTCTGCACGTGGCTGTCCAATTTTCCCAGCACCCTTTATTGAAGAGACTGTCTTTTTTCCATTGCATGTGTTTTCCTGCTTTGTCAAAGATTATTTGACCATAGAGTTGAGGGTCCATATCTGGGTTCTCTATTCTGTTCCATTGGTCTATATGTCTGTTTTTGTGCCAGTACCATGCTGTCTTGGTGATTCTTATAACGACAATAGAACTGAGTCAGAAACTTAGCATTGGTTTGCTACTGTTACCTGATCCTCAGACCTTATTCTGATTTCACAAAGGGCCCCCAGTGAAATCCTTCCCAGCAAAAGAAAATCCATTTGGCACATGGCCTTGTTGAAAAACTTCCTTAGTCTTGTATTTTGTGACATTCATGTTTTTGACATGTTTAAGCCAATTACTTTTCAGAGCAACTTTCAGTTGGTGTTTGTCTGATGCTCCCTCATGATTAGATTTAGATTTCATGCTTTTGCTGGGCATCCTGCAGAATTCATGTGGTGTCTTTTTGGTGCCTCATATTTGGAAGGCCAGTGTTGGTCTGTCCCATTACTGTGATGTTGGCTTTATCACTTGGTTAATGATGGAAGTGGCCATTTGTCAAGGGGCCCCGGCTCCTTTCAGTGGAGAATGGTATCTAGAAATACCTTTTGGTCATGAGGTATGTCCATTGCTACTGAGATACATTGCTCCTAGGCCCTCTGAGTAGACAGAGCTGGGGAGTAGGGAGTGTGGGTTTGTGTGCACGTGTGTGAGTATACACTCATGCATATACACACACATATACACACCTCCGTATTTATAGACATGTGTATACATATCCACATATACATGCATACCCATCATATATATGTGTGAATATACATATATAGGCACATCATCTAGATCATTTCTAAATCAACCTATATATATATTAAAACCACTATGAGTGCACACTGGTGATGCTAGCCACATTCTTGAAATTCACGTCTGTCTTAATGATGCTGACCCAGTCCCACTGCCAATACCCCAGACCGCCGCATTTATTAAACCATGGGTCAGGCCGTGTTCCAGATCCTTCCCTTACTGTTACTGCTCATAACAACCCAGCGGCCCGAGTACAGATGAGGAAATAGGACTCCGAAAAGATAATTAGCTTCTGCAAAGTTGTACAACTAGCAGATGTGGCAAGCGTACAGTGAGTGCCTGTTCACCTGTCAGCATTGGATCCAATGGCCTGTGGAGACACCGCTACCCCAGAAGAAAACCCGAGCGAAAGGTGAGGGAAGTGTTTGTCCCCATGGACCCACGGCCACTGTGGCTCCTAGCGGCAGGAAGGCGATGGCATGTTGGTGGATGCCCACGTCCTTCACTCCTGGCATGTGTTTGTGGCCTGCCTCTCT